AAATTTCTTGCATGTTCGATATACTTAAAATCAAACAGTTTTTTTCAATGAATTTTCCATTTTTTAGCTTAAATTAAATTAATCTTCAAAAGCAAATAAATAATTTTTGTTAGATGATGAAACTTGTGTTACAACTGCTAAATTAATTTCAAGCAGAAAGAGATACACTGTTTTCGATATAGTTTGCAGACTTTCCCCAATTAACAAATACCACAATTAACAATTGCAAATCTTTCCTGAAGAAAGTTAAGTGTCTTTATTTGTATTTTATATTCAAAGAGGCAAGTCCAAAGATGAACAGTAATTTTTGCACAGTTAGGAAAAGTACTAAAATATTACAGAGCTATACCATTCTTTTAATCACTGGACTATCCTAAAAAAAGAAATTATAATAAAAAGGAAATTATTATAAGCAGTAATATTAATTCTTCCTCTGAACATAATTTGAACATTGGAGAAGAAGTCAGTTCCAGAATGTAGGGGCAATAAAGGCATTATGCAAAGGACATTGTATCACAAGTTTTGACTCCCCTGGAGACAGTGGTTCTGTGCAGACATAGATGAGTGTCCATCTGACTATTCTCCTGAGCTCAGATGGACAGAAATTATTTGATTTGCAACCAATGAGCAATTCTTCCTGTGGTAGCTGAAATTTTATGAGAAAAATATGCTTTCATCATCTTCAGTTCTAACCCAAAGAGATTGTAATGAATCTTTATACTTTGCAGAAGGGAAAAGTGGGGAAGTGATAGAGGTTCTTGGAATTCAGATATTGTTTAACTTCAGATATTTGGTGCTAATTTTCACTTAGCATTTGTACACTAATTTTGAATTTCATTTGCCTTGGAAGTAAAAAAGAGAATTCTAGAATATAAGATCTGCCCAAAAGGTCTCTATAAATGCTTCAGACTCTGCTTAGACTTCAGCTTTATAATGAATAAGCTTACCTGCAACCTGACAGTTCAGTAAAATTTATTGCAAAAAACCAAGTTTTTATTGAAAGCTCTCATGTGCTCACCCCAGTGTATTTGAGATCTAATTGGATAAATCCCTTTGGAACCAAATCTGTTAACATTACTTATTGGTTTTATTGCTGTCATCACCAAATACTGGTGATGAATCCCCCACAGGTAAGGTAAACCAAAAGGAATTGTGTTTGCATTTTTAAAGTAATTAAAAATTAGGGCATGCTAAGGGAATAAAACAGGCTTTCTTTTTTTTCATTAAAAACCTTTGAACTTTAAATAACCCCTTTTTCTTGAATAATATTTTTTTTACTCATTGATTCATGGAATTTTCTTTACATCTTAGAAGCCATTCCACCACTGCAGGATACTTAGTGAGTGAGCAGCAGTGGATGCATTTTTCTCAAATGAGTCATCTGCCTTCTTCTGCTGAGATCAGCAGCAGGCTGCTCCACCTTCATTTGCTCTGTACTAGAATTTACTCTTTGCCTTCATTCCTCAGTAAGAAAAGGTGCATGACAATCAGACCTACAATGTCATGTCATCCTGTGGACTGACAATCAGTTATAGGGAGGTTTTTTTCTTCTGCCCTGATAGCTGTATATAGAGATGGTTTTCATTTAATATAGATATAGCAAGGCAAATACTGCTAGAATTCACTGAATCTTTCTCATTTTTAATTCTCAAAGAACACTTGAATGTCTAAAAAACTCCATAATCTTTTAGTTCCAGGGGAACCAAACCTCTGTCTTACATTCACAGCATTCATTAGGAGACAACCATTAAATCTGCTGTACAGAGAATGACTTTTCTCTGTCTCCTTTGTAAGGATCCTGGCCATGATCTTCTATTTCCTCATTAAAATGATACCATCTTCTTTCCTGTATGTGACCTGCTTCAATCTTGCAAATATTGCTAGTATTGATCTATACCTGACTTGAAGATAATAATGCTTTGCAACCAAACCTGTAGGATTCTGAAAGCTGCCTGCAAAGTCTGATCTTCAGCTGAAGTTAAGTGGGTTCTGCCTGTGCTTCTGTTTTGTTGTTGTTTTGTTTGTTTGTTTGTTTGTTTGTTTGTTTTTATTTTGTCAATTTCTGCTTTAAGATATATTCAGTGCTTTTAAGAAGTGCCTTTAGTTTATTGGTACTCTATTCCTAATTATATGACCAAGCTATATACCTTTGCTTTTAAAACACATTTATTGGCATCCTGTCAGGCAGTACATTGATATTTATACTTAAATTGTTTGGTTTAATGTATGACTTGGCCTTGACTCCTGTTATCTAGAAGAATTATTGATTCTTTCTAAACCCAGTTGGGTCTGCAATCTTCAGATACAAGCTTGTTAACTGACCCATATCTAAGATCAACAACGTTGACAGAGTTTGCCTTAGGGGAAAAAGGAGGGTGTTACAAACCCCATGTGTTGAATATTGTGCCTTTGTGGCTTGCAGAAGCCTTGGTGGTAGAACTATCTGTTTCTGAATTGCTACAAAAATAGTTCAGTTCACTGATTTACACTGAGCTATATTTAAACAAAAGCCAACAAAGAAAATCTCTACATAGCTTTGGATTACTGCAGCATGTTTCCTTGTGCTGTTAGTGCAAGTTGAGGAACATACCTAGAATCAAATACCAGATCAAGTAGTTCAGTACTTCTGTCTTTTATTACAGATTTTGCACTACAGTCACTTTGAGTTCCCCCAGTAGGACCTGACCCTGGGATTAGCTCATTTGCTTAGAGCATGGTGGTCAAAGGTCCAATGCCATATGGGCCATTCACTTTAGAGATGGAACAGATGATCCTTCTGGGTCCCTTCCAGCTCAGGCTATTCTGTGAGTGGAAAATCTGTATGTCCTTTGCTAAGACTGTCTGATTGAGGACTTTTTCTGTGCAAATGCAAATAATAAAGGGCATAAGAAACAAACAAACATAGACATGTAGACCTAACACACAAATGTAAGACCAGGACAAAATCAAAACCTCATCAGTCACACTACATTACTGATGGGCTATCAAGACCCACAGACAAAGTGAGGACTTCTGACCAGGAAAGTCAGGGATGGTGGAGGTTGGAGGGTCTTTTTCAGTATGACTATGAAAATTCATGAAGGACTGAAACTCATGAAGGGTCCTACACCTGGACAATGGCAATCCTGGACATGGCTAGAGGCTGGATGCAGAACGAGAGCAGCCCTGCAGGAGAAGGACTTGGGGGTGACCACTGATGTAAAGCTCAACACAAGCCAGAAATGAACAAGGAGGAACATGAGAAACAAGGAACAAGGGTGGACTATTTAACTGACTAGCCTTAGAACACCAAACCAATATGTAAGCTATACCTCTTTTACCTTTCTGTTCTAGAAAAATGTAGATAGTTGCCAATAGAGGACAAGATGAAAAATGTATGCTGGGGCATCCATATGCAAATACTCATTTGGATGAAATTAATTTTACTTGGGAATTCAAATTTGGCATTTTAAAGCAATATCGTTATGCATTTTTAAAGGTTAAATACTAAGGCTGGGGACTGGGACAAGTTGTGTAAAATATCCACAGAAATTTCTAGGAATAGTTAATAGAGACAAACAATGTATGCTATAAGTTCAGTTCTGACCATACATAATTGGGAAGGAATTCTTTGGGTACTTGGGAAAAGTCAGCTTTATCTCTGTATGAATTGCAAGACCCATGGAAAGAGGTTATCATAAGAATGAAAATATTCTTGTCCTGAAAATATATGGAAAATTCAAAAGTTCTGTCAGATTCAGAACTCTCTAGCTAGCAAAGTTAGGCACCTGCAGAGGCAAACTGCACTTCTGGACAGCCAGCAGATTGTTTGATGATGTTTCTAAACTTCCAGGTTAAGTAAGATTTAGATTACCTGGAGCCTGTCCTACATTCTGTCATATTTGTTTGTAATTGAATTTCATAAATCATCTTCAACATATAGATTGCAACACATACAGAATGCTGAACATATTTATATGAAAGTATACACTTGTTAAATGTCTTCAAGTGCCATATACCATATCAGTGTGATACAGTATGGAAATTTGGGAATGTATGTAAGAATCTGAAGCAGATAAAGTGTCAGAACATGATAGCAAGACAGCAAATATATTGTGAAGATTGGTTGGCAGGAATAAGCAGGAAAACCGGGTAAATGAAAAGGGGCGGATAAAATAGTATGCTTCTAGATGTGAGAAAACACTGGTGGCAGGCTGGTATGTGAAAATACAACAGAAGTTATTTCTGAAATACCTTTGGAATTCCAGAAAAAGAGGCCATTATCTTAGAAATATCATAGCATTATGTTATGATGAGGTAAAATATTTGAGTAGAAGACTAAGTAATTAGGCTCATATAGCTAACTTTAGAATAAAATTCCAGTTTTCTTTTTTAGCAAGAAAATATCAAGAAAATGACTGTTGCATTACTTCACAGAGTCCTGTAAGACTCCAATGTCTTCTATCTCAGTTCTCCAAAATAGTTCTTGTTGCAAGTAAACCTTCCAAAAGTGTTTGCGTACACCTTTATTCATAATTTATCTTTGTATTGGGGGATAATTTTATTTAGAAAATAGATTGACTGGGCTTAAAGAACCAGAGCAAAATGGCAGTATAACCTACAAAATATAAGCACAAATTCACTATGTGAGCCAAGAAGGATGGAGCCTAACCTTCCCCCTATTTATATTTTGCCCAAAATTATTCATGGCAAGATTGCAGTCATGTAGTAAGAAAAACAAGTCTGTGATAGAATAAAATTACACTAATGTTCACAACAAGGTTTTTATGAGGGGAAGCTATGCTTAGGGGAAGGTTTTCTCATATGGATTGGATTTTGGCTATCAGGTTATGCAAGGACCTTGTTTTCTTATTAACTATGTATGCAGAAGGAGAAACCTCACAGAATTAACTAACTCAAAACCAACTATGTCTGTCATTGGGTCTACTAACTATGCTGTTGATGTTGGGTCTGTCATAACAAAGTTTTTTCTTCCTTTCTTTAAATCTTGATCCTGGCAGAATGGAAATTGGAAGACTATCATCATGATTTGGAAAACAATAATATGAAAAAAAAAAATCTGCTTCTACATGTCCAAGAAGTCATGGGATCTTCCTCCAATGCATTGCACAAGAAAGTTTGTGAACTGATAAGTAGCTGTTGTCATAGAAGGGACACACCCCCACAACAGGGATTAGAAACAGTGAAAGCAATGTCATATTATTTATGACATGCAGATCACAAGCATTATGCATTTGAGATATATGCTTAATCTTTTTGCCTGTTTCTACTTTGGGTTGTTACTTTCTGCTAGCTAAAGGAAGAATATGTTCACTGACATTAAAAAAAAAAGTCAGATCTTAGAGTTTCTATTATTCATAATTATTGTTAAAATACATTTTATGGGGGTTTGAGTGTAAAATATCCATTATTGAGTAAGTTATGGTGAATTGCAACTAAAAAAATGCCTGTAAAAATAAGGAGGGAAGGGCCCTCGGAATAAATAATTGTTATAAAAAAACACCCAACAAAACCAAACCAAAACGAACATGAAGCATTTCTTGATGCTCAGAGGAAAGTTTGTAATACTACAGAGATTAGAAATACCAGATGATGCACTTGAAGTTTCTGTAAAGAAACAACTAAGCTGACTTTCTGTACTACAAATACTTGATGAAAATTTGATATGAGAAGTTGAGACCTAAACTTCATACTAAAAAGCAAGTTTATAATTTTTAAATATCTCCTATTTTGTAGCATATGCCTGTGTCTTGACCTTTGTTATTTCAGCAAAGCCAGTTTAAAATCATCTTGTTTGAAAAAGAAATAAAGGGTACTGATTTAATTTTGAATACATGTTTTAATAAAATACAAAAACAACAGAGGTCTGACATTAGTGCTAGTGGCAAATTTTAAAAAATAACCATATTCTTATTGATTTTAGTGATGCAGAATCAACTACAGTTGAATAACATGACATTATTTTATTTTTATTTTCACCTACTTTTAGATTTAAAACAATTTTAGAACTGCATCTGGAAATAATAAAATATGTCAAGAATATAGTGGTACATTGTATACAGAATGAAGTGTTAATCTACAGAAGGAAGCATGTCAACACTCTACAAAACAATGCAGGTCAAGTCACTCTCTTCTCAGGTAGATAACCAGCACTTTTATGCAGGAAAATTGCTTGCCTCATTTTGTTAACATTGCAGATAAAGTGGGAAAATATTAAGTAAGAACATGAAGAATTTTTTTATTTGCTAAATGGAATAAAATCTGAGCTTGACAGGAAAAAATAGCATCTTCAAAAGACTGAAGAGCTAGACTGCACTGAAGATTTGTTTCTAAAGGCGCAGCATAAGCAAAATGACTTTTGATGGAATGGGAGAACAATGGTATCAGCAAAAATGGATCATTTCTTAAGAGGATTTGAGGTGGTAACTGAATTTCTGGTCCCAATCAAAAAATTACTGATTCAGTTAAGGCCAAATTTCAGCCAGTGGTATTCCACTCAAGTAGTTGTAAATTTTCTGTCTCTCAGGCAAAGAAAAGATCTTTACCCTCTAGATGAGTAATTATTTTGGGATGCGGTACTGCTCTATTTTTAGACTATGACAAGGGGGGAAGATAGATGTGGTTTTGGGAAATTACTGCTACAGCTGCAGACATTCTGACACTTCAGACTCAAGGCTAGCTATGAAAGAGTTTTCAATCCCCTTTAAGTTCCTTCTCAGCCTGGCGAGTTTTCATGTACAGAAATATTGTAGGTGTGTTGTAATCATATAAGGCACATTAGAGCTTTGTGTATGCTAATTAAAAAGAAACCTGCTACATACTAAAATTCTTTGAACACTTTTCCTCTGAAATTTAGAAGTAACTTTTTGCCACTGTGCTACCAACTACCCAGATGAGTAGATAAAATTGCTATGAGCTGTTCAAAAACTTAAATTTAATTGACAAGACAGACTATCAGTGAGAGGAAATATCATAAATAGAGGGAAATAGAATGTATTTTTATTACTTAACCTTGCACAGTCATTTATTTCAGGCATAAAAATGTTTGTGGGACAAGTAGTGACAATAACATTTTGAAACAAGGCATTTTCAAGATGAGAGAAAATAAAAGGTGTCATCAAAAAAGGAGAAAAAACAATGATATATAAAATGTGAAAAGAAAATTTTGAGAAACTGACAATACAAAATAAGAAATTATAAAGAAAAGATATAAAGCATAGGATTCTTGGTATTTCACATTTACTGATTGCTGCGATGTCTAATTTTCACATTTGAATTCCAGGTGGTACAATTTTTCCCCAACCCAGAGCTGATCTATGCATCATATGTCTCATTATTTATATTTTTCTTTTTTCCCACATTCTCAGCCTTTTGATCATTCCTTCCAGAGCTTGTTTAATATAATTCAGGGCAAGCATTAAAAAATTATAGCATTACTGCCTGTAGCAGAGCATCTTTCATATAAAATGATGTTGAAGTACACTCCAAACTGGTTTACAGGTTTGAAATTACAGTAAAGTTTAACCTCCTGGGGTTGGTGAGAAGGAATGTGTAAGTTTAATTAGGAGGAACTCTGCATTTCCCTTGCAGCCAGGTATCCTCATGATTTGCTCACCTTTACACTTACTGGAAGATTTGGACCTGTGCCAGCCAGTGTGCAGTGGTGTGTAGGAAGCCTCCCAGGAACTGGTTTCTCAAGTCCTACAGAACAAGCAGATAGCTCTGTTAAGTTACTCCAGCTTCTGTGGGCAGATGTCTTTATTGTGCCCTGACATGGTGCAGATGATGTCCAGACCAGCTGAATCAACAGGTGCTTATTCACACCTTGCTCAGCCATAAGGGCTTTGATTTTGAAGTTAAATAGAGGAATTACTTTGTGCTTCTGATACCATAAAATAATTCACAAGAAAAGAGGAAAAATATGGCTCCTGAAACATTAGCTACAGTGTCTCAGCACAGCCTGTGTTATGGAGAAACTACCCAAATAAACTTAACACCTTTTTATTTTTTTTTTTTTAAAGACATTTATAGCTGATCTGCAAAACAATTAAAATATGAACTGACAATCTGACAATATCTGCTGACACTAAGATATTCAGCATAGTATAAATGAAGGGTCACTGTAAAGAGCTGTGGAAAGGTCACACAAACAATCAAATGACATCTACAACTAAATATAAATAAATGGGATAAATGTAAAAAGGCTTTACTGCTATGATGCACACAGTAATGGGCAAGTCAAATCTAGGAATAACTGACAAAATAAAAGAAACTAGAGAAATCATTAATGGAAAAGGTACAAAGAGCAAGAAGGACATCTGTAACTGTAGGGATGAATGGTCTTCAGTCTGAAGAAAAGATGATGGAGAGGATCATGGGTAACAGTTTTTAGAAACATAATTTGACAAAATGAGCCTCAGCTGTTTATTATCTTGTGCAGTATATAATAAGGAGCTACACTAGAACTAGCATGTTACAGACAAACTTCTTCCTATGTAGCTAAGTTGGAATTTCTTTACCACAGGATGCTGCAGAGGCCGTATCAAAAAGAACACAGTAAATTTGTGTCAGAAACACCCCACTGATGGTTATTAACTACCACCAATCCCTCTGTGGCCCAAATAGAGGCAGAACATTAAATCATGGAAGTGAAGTGAGTATCTTGGGGACTGTAATATTGCACTGCTTATATTTGCTTTTCTAAGTGTTTTATTACTAGCACATGCTGGAATAGGTTGACCTTTGATTTGACCCATTATGATCCCATTATGGTCTCTATTACTTTTATCAACTGGAGATCAAGGTATTTCCATAATAACAGAGAAACAATAAGGGATTGGTCAGTAAGGAGAGCTCAGGCTGTACTGTGACAAATTGAAATCACATCAGAAGAAATTAAAGTATGTTGCTGTTATTTATATACAGTTCTTAACCATAAACCTCTCATACTCAGCAAAGCTGAAATGTAAGTCAGATAAAAAAGTTTTTGATATGTACTCTTCCTGAATTTCTGTAGTTATTAAAACTTGAATTGACTGGCATATTGAAAAAAAAAGTCCACACGTCGGTATGCTTTCAAAAAACATTTCCTTATGGATAGTTTAATGGCCAACAGTATAGGAAGAATTGAATACATTATGATACAATGAACTGAACATTAAGAAGGCAAAGAACAGATCCTGTGTCAGTCCAGTACAGCTACTGAGCTGGCTGCCTGTTTGTCACCCATGCAGAATCATTCAGGACCAGGCTCTTGGTAGCAACTGTGGCTCACAGGGGACCCACACTGGAGCAGTCTGTTCCTGAAGGAATGACCCCATGGAAAGGACACATACTGGAGTAGGGGACCAGCACGACCTGCAACAGGGTTACCACACTTCAGGAAATTCACTCTTTATTTCCCAGGATGAAATTACTTGGATCACATTTCTTTACTTCCAGATAAAATCTATACAGTTATCAGAGCCCTTCTAGTGTGATTTTCACTCCAATTTTTTTATAGAATCATATTAAGTTTTTGCAAGAAATCCCTAGTTAAATACTTGGAGTGCTGAAAAGATGCAAGAGGGAAAAATCACTCTGGAAATAAGTGTAAAAATGCCAAACTTTCCATTATTTCCATTGTCTAAGGTGCCCATGTGACTTTTTAATGTAATTCCTGCTATCCTGTGAAGACAGCTAAGAAGCATGTGAGTGTGTAGGTGTGCACTGTATCACAGCAAGGCTGATTCATCTAAAACAGTCAAAGGAGAGTTAGGAGTTTTTGGTCTGCATCTTTGTCAAGAGATCTAATTAAAATGAAGAATTACATGGATGCTGAGGCAGGAGCTGGACTCGTCAAGCACACAATTCTGCATGCTCAGCAGCTAAATGTGGGTGCAAGGAACTGCTCTATTACGGTTTGTATATAGATGTATAGTTTTTACATTCCTGGTAAAATAATAAAATATTTTTAAGTAACTTGAGCACTATTAATAATGCTACAGCTAACAAAACAACAGAAAATGCAATACTGAAACTAAAAATTTCTTTTTGTATTACTG